TATACATAAATGTATATTGCATGTACATGTCATGTACTGTACATGTACATGTATGTATGTACATGTCCGTGTATGTGCATTAGTTTTAGCAAAATCACTAAAGCAATGTACATTTTACATAATTATATGAAAAATACATGTACATGCTTTGTGGGGTGCATGCGTACATTGCATGTATTTTTGAAAGATCAATAAAAATATGGTATGGTAGTGTAGTGTTCAGCTCACTTCTCTTGATGGTAGTGGGAACCTGAACTCTCTGTCAAATCGTCCTGGCCTCCTCAGTGCTGGGTCTATAGCATCAATCCGATTGGTCGCTCCTATAACAACTATCTCCCCACGACTGTCCAGCCCGTCCATGAGAGCAAGGAGAGTGGAGACAATGGAGGAGTGGATCTGGTCTTGTCTTGTGGATCGAACTGGAGCCAATCCATCAATTTCATCAAAGAATATGATGGATGGACGCATTTGATAAGCCTATAATACATACAACGTATAATAACAATAATGATAAATTGTGCAATATACGCAGTATGTACATGTACACGTATACATACTGTACATGTACATGCACATGTACAAATATATAATTCTAGCATAAACATGTACAAGTCCATGGACTGTTAACTGTGTGTTCTATTTGTTAATTGGTTCTATTACACATACATGTACATGTACATGTACATGTACTTGTAATTTAATACAAAATTTTCTTCAAATTTACAATTTCACAAACATAAAAAAGCACACGCAAACTCAAGGAACCAAATCCTGTCCATTCAAACATTATAACTGTAAACTAGCACTTGTTGCTAATTACTATAATACATGTACATGTACAATAATTGTATTCTTTAGATTGGATCCTCTTACTTGATCAAAAAGGAGTCTCAGTTGTCTTTCACTCTCTCCAACCCATTTGCTCAGGCAGTCGGCTCCTTTTCTCATGAAGAAGGCCACCTTACGTCCTTCCTTGGAGCACTCGTTAGCTAATGCTCTAGCCACTAGTGTCTTACCACAACCTAATAATACATGCATCAGTTATTAGTATGTCTATAAGACCAGTATAAGCATACAGTATACAATGTACATGTACATGTGTATGACTGTGACTGTGAATGTACATGTAAAGTCAAACTCTC